AGCATTTTAATCTTCTAATTTGGGACTTGTTTTAGATAATGCTTTCATTTTATTTACTAAAAATTTTCCTCTCTTTATAGCTAGCAACATTGTTTTCATGTCCACAAAAGCCGTTTTGGTAGATTTTGGCCTAAGTGTTCAAATGACTGAAGACATCTACTTTCCTAAGGACCTCCGTGGAACAGAGGTATAATTATATTCCTACAAGAATGATTGATATCTTATTAAGAGTAAAAATAAAAAATGCCTATCATTACTGTATAAAGGACAAAGAAGGGGAGAAAAGCCACTGCATTAAATTTTTATCATCATTGGAACATATTTAATGAGTACTTTATCTGTGCCAAGTACTCATTTTAGCACTTTAAATGAATTATATTTTGTAACCCTCACAACAATTCTATTATTGGTAAACACTATTATTACACGCAAATATTATTATGATTCCCATCTATATATATATAAAGAGGTGATATGCTAATTGGTCCTAATGGTGTCCCAGTCATGACCGTTCAACAGGCTGCATGCACACAGGAGCTAATGGGCAGGGACAGGGGCAGGGACTTGTGCCAATGGGACATGAGGCTGCCGCTGCAGGGAGGGGTGGGGGCGGCGCATGCAGGCCTGCCATGCCGCCTGGCCTGGAGTGGGGGTGTCAGGATGGGGGCCCGGAGGGAAGAGAAGATAGGCAGTTAGGGGGATCAGCCCAGGAGGGGAGTACAGATAGGCAGTTAGGGGGATCAGGCCAGGAGAGGAGAGCAGATAGGCAGTTAGAGGATTCACACAAGGAGGGGAGAGCAGTTAGGGCCATCAAGGCAGGCAGGGGAGCAGGTAGGGGCATCAGGCAGGCAGGAGAGCAGTTAGGGGCATCAGGCACGCAGGCAGGTGAGCACTTAGGAGTCAGTGGTTCTGGATTGCTAGCAGGATCCCAGTTTGGAGAGGGTGCAGGTCAGGCTGAGGGACCGCCCTCCCCCCCTCCAGTGCCCAAAATTTGTGCACCGGGCCTCTAGTTTTATAATAAGGAAACAAGATTGAAGAGCTTAAAACCAAGTGTTCAAAGCTTCTCAGCTACATAATGATCTGGAGCTTGAATCCAGTTTTTTTCTGAGTCTAAAATCTAAGATCTAACCACTGTATACCTTTTTAATATAACAAATATATATTCTTAGTTTAACTGATGATTTGGTTCATTTACAGCCATCATTTTTAGGGTCATTGATAACATTTATTAAGAACTGACAACATTTTAGGCCTAACTTTAATCCTAGGGATCCTATAATAAACATCATTTATTATACCATAATTAAATCTTATTGAAGATATGAACTAGTAATAATACTTATATTTGTGAAGAAAAATAAACCAAAGAAACCTTTCTTGAATCTAAATGAGATTCAGAGAAATGTATTCATGGGTTTCAAATAATATATTAATTTAACATTCACATTGTTAAACTGAATAGTTGATTCATGTAGTGAGTGTCTCCTGAGCATCTGCTGTATGGCAGACTGTTGCAGGTACCAGGGATGAAACGGGACAAGGTCAATAAGGATTATGCCTTGGTGGTACTTTTTGGTGAAAGAAGCTATGTTAAATTGACCTGAATTATTAACAGATCAAAGAGTTAGTTCACTGTTGCTTATGATGGACAATGAGGGATAAAACTGGGAAGGTAAATGGGTATAGTAGTTGCCTTTCTCACCCGTGTCCACTATGGTGGGTGCTTAACTATCAGCCACCCAGCCCCGTGCCCTTCTCTCTATTGGAAGTGCCCCCAGAAAATGGACAGAGGGCATTGGCTGCATCTTTACCTCAAGATTACCAGGTCAGTCTTAGTGTTCAACCAAATAACAGCCCTTAGTCTAGCTGGTAGATATATTGATTGCACTGAAGTCAGTTGCAGTGCAATAAATAAATATTTATTTCAAAATGAGATTTTGTAAGCTTTTCTTAACTCTCAGAGCAAAAACTTTCTTGAGCAGCAGAATCCTTGTTTTTGCTGATATTACTGAATTTAGTTTGGAAAATATTTGAGAGAAAATTCTTGATAGTCATCTTTGAGCAGAATAATATTCAGGAGAGAAAACTGTTCACTTTTTAAAAATGTTTTAGTCCCAGATCTTAAGAATACTTCACCAAAGCACAAAATCTAAGACTTACTACTTAGACATGTTTTTGGGGGGAGAATTTCCAGCACATTTTGCATTAGTCAGAAGTTTAGATATGTGACAGTGCACCATTTTTCCTGGAACCAAGTTGAGAAACAAACTATTTATGGTATTAAAGATGGAAAATACCTTTTTCTTCCTGGCAGTGCGATCAAATTGAACATTTTGCAATTTCTGGAGGAAGACATGTCCCTTCTGGGATTCTCTAGCAGAAAAAGAATGTGTGTTGGAGTATGAGATAATAACATAGTGTTCACTCCTGGGTTAAGTTATTTTCACCAAATGTAAATTATTTTTTTATGAATTACTAAACTGGCTTTGGTGTTTAGTGTTTATAGTTATAAACTCTCTTCTAATCAACCTGCATTTTAATATCTATATGGTACTCAGGAACAGAAATTTGACAGTGAGCAAGTTTGCAATGTCACCTGTGAAACTTTTCAGTAAGCTTGTTTTTAACCTCATACTAAAGAGCCAATAAGGGGTAGTGAGTCAAAGTCAAGCATGCACATTTGCTTTTGTTAGAACTTGTTCACTTGGCTACTTCATAGCTGCACATGATTTTTGATTCCTGCAATATATGGAATCAGGCACTCCACCTTGGGTGAAGCTCTCCCTCGATCAGCCTGTCCCTTCTACCTGTACATAGTTCCTCAGTGCAGACACTGGTCACCTGTGTTTGATCTCTCTCTCTCTCTCTCTCTCTCTCTCTCCTCTTCCTCTCTCTCTCAACATTTACATTCAGAACATTATATTGTACCCACATAATACATACAGGGGTGGACAAAAGCAGGTTTATAGTTGTGAGTATGTGAAACAGAGTTTATTCTTATATTATTATTATTTATTCATTTTTATTATACCAGAAGCCTGGTGCACAAAATTCGTGCATGGAGGGAGGGTGGGTTGTCCCTCAGCCCAGCCTTCTCCAATTGAGGACCCCTTGGGGCCTCCCCGTGCAGGCCTGGTCCCTCCCAGCTGCCCTCCCCTGCAGGCCATCTTGTGGTGGCCATCTTTGAACACATGGGGGCGGCCATCTTGTGTGTTGGAGTGATGGTCAATTTGCATATTACCTCTTTATTATATAGGATTTATTTGTGTTATAACTATAAACTTACTTTTGCCCACCCTTGTATACAGGGTTAATCTGGTATATATTCAATTTATTGTTTTTAATTACACTGTGCAGAGAAAGAATAAATAATAAATGTATATAGCTAATTAGAATCACATAACATGGTCCTTTAAAAAAAGTTTATTTTCTTCTGATTTGGTATTTGGTCTTCATGTAAGTTAATATGTAATCATCATATGTGTGGACACACACACACACACACACACACACACACGTCTCTTTCCC